GGTTTATTCTTTATTAAATGATTGGTTATTTAATGTACAAATAATAATAATAAATGCAACTATTTAAAATTCAACATAAGGTTGAAAGTCGAGGGGAAAACTCCTCTATTTATAATAAAATAAAAATACTTGTATTATTAATCTTTTCTAAATGATTATTAATCTTTTATTAATTCTTATCGATTTTTTTTTTTAATAAAATTTTCTTCAACCATAGATTCTTTCTGATCTTTTAGTTGTTCTTCTGATTATTATCCATCGTTAAATTCTTTGAAAAGATTATCAATCTATTCTAAATATCAAAGGAATTCTTTATCTTGAATTTCATAATCCTGCATTTCGTAGATCCTTTCTTCATCTGGTATTTCGTTATATGTTATCAAAGCATCCCTCCATTGATTATTTCCTTCGAATATTTTAAAAAGTTCATTAAGTTCTTCCTGTTCCTTTCTTTCTTTCTCTTTTTTCTGTTCGGTGGCTTTCTTCCGCCAATAATCAAATATTGTTCCTAATTCTTTTTTCTTCATGCATTGGTTTATCATTTTATCTACTTCTTTCTGAGTATATGTTTTTTCTTTTCTTATAATTGTTTTTTCGTCGATTTTTTCTTCTAATTTTATTATTCGTTCTTCCAGGTTTTTAAATTTTGGTATTTGTTCTTTTATTTCTTCCAGCTCTTTGATTTTTTCTTCATATTTTTTATTTAATTCTTCCATTTTTTCCGTATATTCTTCTTTTCTTCGTTTATAAGCTTTTTGTGCATTTAAAACTTGTTTTTTTCTTTTTATTTTCCGATCTTCTTGGTTATCAGAGTTTTCTTTTCTTTTTTCTTGAGTCATTTTATAATGTTTTATTTTTCCCGGAGTTTTCTTTCTCTTTTTATAAGTTTTTTCTGATTATTCATCTTTTCTTATTGATTAATAATCTTGGAAATATCTATTGTTCTCCAATTCTCGTATTTCATCTAATCTTTCCTTTAATGTTTGACATGTCCTACATCCCCTTTTATGGGCATTGGTAGTTTTATGATATTGTATATTTCCTATAATATCTTTTCTTGTCCATTGATAATATCCTGTTTGTTTTTGTTCTATTTGGTTAAATATTTTCCCATATATTTCTGCCTTTTTATTTTTAGGGTCTTCTTTTCTTTTTTCAAAATCCCTTCTTTCTTTACAAAATTCACAGTCACAATTATTGAAAAATTCTTTTCCAAATACTTTCTTCAAAATTTCTTCTTTTTCAGTCATGTATTTCATTTTTTCTATGCAATTCTTGCATGTTTCTTTTAAATGTCCAAAAGCGTCTACTCCACATGTACATGGTTGTTTCTTTTTAAATTTATTTCTTGGTTTACAGATTCTAGTCATGAATATTTCCTGAAAAGATTCTTTTGTAAAGAACCCTGTCCATCCTTTCGAGATTCTTCGTAGGTCCAGTATCCTTCTATTTTTATATTTCTCTAAAGTTTCTTTTTCGTTCCTTATGGATTCTATTGTTTGTAAAAATATTTCTTTGATAATTTCATTTGGTAGTTCGATTTCAATTTTTTCTATTTTTCTTTTTATTATCCTTTCTTCTTGATGGTGCCATTCTGTTTCTTCTAGTCAATCCTTTTTGGTAATTGTCGATAATTCTGTTTCATGGTTTTGTTCAGCTTCCTTTCTCGCTACTAAAATTTCTTTAATATTATATTCTTGTTTATTTTCTTCTGGGTAATACCCTGGACAAAATTTCTTTATATGTCCTTTTCTTCGACAGTTTCCACATTCTATTTCTGGACAATCTTTAAACAGGTGGGTTGTTTCTTTACAGTTGCTGCATCCGAAGTTTCCAATTCTTTCTTCTCTTTTTCCTAATCGCTCTTTTACTCCGAATTCTTCGTTCTTGTTTCTTTTATAGTAATTTTCTTCAAAATTATTCTTTCTTCCCCATTCTTGACTCCATTTATCCCCTGGCGAGATATTTCTTTTCTGAGAATTTTCTGCTCTTGCTTCTTCTTTAAGTATTTCTTCAATAATTTTTCCGCTAATAGTTTTTTCTCCGATTTCTATTTTTAAATTTTCAATTTCTTTTGCTAGGTTTTCCCTGGTAATCCTTAGTTTTATGATTTGTTGATTTATGTTCTTTAATTCAGTTTCTTTTTCTGCTATTAGAGTTTTCTTTTCTTCTTTTTCTTTTTGTAGATCTTCCTCCTCAATTTCTTTTAATAATTCTTTTTGAAGGTCCAGGTTTTTTCTCAGTTCTTCTTTTTTGGCTTGTCTTTCTTCTGGGGTTAATTGATTAATTGAGTTCATTTTTTACAATAGACTGTTATTAATTCTTTTTGATCTAGTGATTCTTATTATTTCTCTTCTGATTTGTTCTTTTTTCTTTTATTGTTTTATTCGTAGGAATTTAACATCTCTGATTAATTCTACTATTATTTTTATAGTTATTTTTTCTTTTTTGGATTAGTAATCTTTTTCTTTTTCTTTGGTGGTTGATTATTCATCTGCTTATTTTCTTTCTTTCGTTTGTTATTTTTTCTTATTTGATTATTCATCTTATTATTTTGTTTAATAATTTTCTTTCCTTCTGGATATAGTTCCATCCCATTTATTTGATTTAATTCAAGTTTTTCTTTATTAACAATTTTTTCAATTTGTTTGTTTTCCATTTTTTGTTTTTCTTGTAATCCTATTCTTGTCATAAGATCTGACCATTTATTCTTATCTCTTTTTATCCAAATTAGTTCTTTATTCAATTCCATATGTTTCACCAACAGTGGTAG